GAAAACAGATAATTTTTTTTATTTCGATGCTCTGTCTGGAAGTACACTTGAGGATGTTATCAAATAGATTTTTATGAATGTGGCATATTCCACTTTAGCATATTTAAGAATGGAGGTCATTCAGATTTATAATTTTCTCTGCCTAACTATAACATTTCGAAACGAAGTCCTTTTGTTTTGCAACTGTTGTGAGGCATCCATAATTCATAAAAACTAGTTATTCAAAGTAAGAAAAAAAATAATGTAAACGTGTGAAGACGACGTGTTAATTCAATAGGAGTCTATATTTCTACCTGAATATTTGTTGGGGTTACAAATGTTTATTTGTCTCTCAGCACGATACTTTCAGAATTCTGTTCAAACAGAGGTAAAATGTCCAACCACATATTCGTTGCATATAGGAAACTGACGTAATTGAGTATGAAAGAAATGAAATGGAAATGAATTTTCGAATTAACTGTTTTGTGAGTAGGGGTCTAACGAAGTAATCTGTACGTGTATTCATCAGCCAGTGAAATTTGTAATCTAATGGTGAAAATTAAACCTAAAAATGCCAACTGCTTCTCTCATCATGTGTGCAGTTGGATCATACTTATGTAACAAGTAAGTCTCCAGTTTAACATATAATTTCTTCTACGAACAACTATTAGTACACTATCGATAAACAGGGCCGTATCCAGGGTCGAATGAAGAATTTTCGTAGCCATGGAAAGTGAACCTAATCCGGATTCTTCTGACTACAGAAGTTTCCGAAACAATCTCAGACTGTTTCATCCGTATTGAGCTAAACAAATACATCGATGTTTCGTACAAAAAACAAGCTATTTTATTCATTATAAAATAAACCGTCAAACTTAAAGACTTGAATCAGGCAAATACGTTACTCGGCGAGATATTTTGTTTTCCTCTAAAATGTCTAATAACAGAATATGTATTCATCTGTTGAGCGAAAATCTAGTCGATGAATTCTAGTCTTGTCATATGATGAAACTTCGTATCCATAAAAATGCTCAAGCAACATATGCACGAATTAATTTATTTCCGTGGCAGACGTCAGCAGGTTCTACTTCATAGCTCTAAAAAATAAATATATCGATGAGTGTAGTCGATAAATGATTTATGTTTATGGTAGATTCGATAATTTTGTAGTTTATTATCATATAAATTATTGATGTGTTATCACTCAGCTTAAGTTGATAATTCGGTGATCACTGCCATAGAAAATTCGTATGATGGGTTCATCTCTTCTTCCATTCAAGAAAATTTTATGAAAATAAATCTTCATAAACCAAAAAGTTATTTCTCATCACTTATTTATAATGAATCCATTTTTGGAAAATGATTCTACGATCCAGGCCTCCACAACTTCTATCACCTTTCCATTCATTCAGTTGGGGAAGGATATACTAATAGACGAATGCTTTTCATACCAATATGCGCAGAGACATTGTGTCCTGCATTAACAAAATGCCTCTGGACCACGTTCCGTCTTTAATCTCCATAGTTTTTATCGTGGAGTGATCAGTAACATCGAATAGTGATTCTCGTGTTTTGTTCAAGCCCATTTCAGAAAACAATCATGATTACTCCTTGCAATCTCAAAAAACTCGAGCGTTAGAGTGTCCCCCTTCCATCGATTGCCGCTTTGTTTCTGAATCCCTAGAAATTTAGTCATGTTTTATCCATAGTAACAACATGGCTCAAGAAGTTTATGAACACGGATAGAATGCGATGCCTCTGCTCATGCCCGCTATTGAAAAATATTCAAACATTTAGGTATCTATTTTGCAGAAATGTTCATCCACGTGTCGGCGTGAATTATATATTTTTCTCATTTCTATAGAATATCAATTGTCACAGATATTCGTTTTAGCACAGTTGGAATCATGTCATAAACTACATCGATATAGAAACTTGCCTTTCCAATTGATTTTCATAATAAATAAAAAATGTATTCGAATTGAACGGGAAATATTTTCTGGACATATTTGTTTTTAAGAAAAAGTTTTTGGCTTTCTACTCCTTCATCTTTATATATAAGATGTGAGAAAAAAACAATCAATCTGACTGTAGATCATCCAAAGAAGTTACTTCCAGATACAAACTGAAAGAAAAAGCCCTCTCGAAACAGCTTCTTTCATACAAACATTGAATTAAATGATAGAAAGAGTACTTTACAAATAACTACTGTTGTATGAATATTGATTATACAAAAATCACTCTTTTTTAATCAGTTTGTACTTTTAACATTGGTTATGAAATTAAATCAAATATCATTCATATAAAGCTACATCATTCAGTGGAGACTTTGAAGTTTCGGAATGAAACATTCTTTTTATTGCTTCATCAGCATCAATCTGAATAACATTATAAAATGAAGCCCTCAAATCATTCATAATATTACGACTTTGTCATGAATGAGATGAATCTATTTATGTTACGATGACAGTACGTGATGACATTCAAACCTTCATTTGATTCATTACCGGCCATGGGTTTAGCACAGATTAGTTTTTAGAAGAAAAAATGTTTGGCTTTCTATTCCTACATCTTTAATGGTGGTAAACATAACTGTAACTACGAGTCTTCAAGATGAGGCCATTAGGAGCAATTGCCTGGCTTTAGAGAAAACGGCATAGGCGAAAGTATCTGGCTTACAGAGACAGGCTGTGGTGTCACACCGTAAGCAGCCATTGGGAACTTTCTAGATCTACCTCCTCTCCACATTTTTCTGGAGAGAGAGGCTAAATGGACCCTATATAGATTTGTGCACATTACCATTGCACAAATCAATCTGATGCAGAGAATAGTAGTCTTCTGGTGGACACTGGAAGTCACAGCATTTCAATATACGGCGTGATGGGGTGTTTTTTTATCATCTCAGTAGCCTATTATAGTGGTGTGACAAACAAAGTACTGGGATGCTATTTTACTCAAGCAAGTTGGAAAAATTAGGCTTGGAATCGAATATATAAATTGATTATTTGATTCCCATTCATTGCACACAGCTAATAAATAAGGTATAAATAGTTCGGGTGTTTTAATTTCCACTGAAAATATCCAAATCTGGACTTCTGAAATGATATTATAAAGGGAAAAGATTTGTTTGTTTATCATAGATGAACTCAGAAACTCCTCAATAAATGTTTTTGAATTCATTCACCTATGGAAAACTACAATTAAAAATATAACCTATATTTAATTTCCAAGAAAATCAGAAACACCTACAGAAATTGCAATAATGTATCCGAAGGTATCAAAAGGTGGACTATAAAAGTCAATTATTGGTATGTACAGTTAGTAATTTCCTTGAACTTGAAATAATGTTAAGACAATCATAATCATCCCTGATGTTTTTTTTCAAATACAGGTCTTGAACTATTTCGTATTAAAAAAAATAAAATCTTACCTAGAACTGTTAAGTGGCAAGTAGAGAATGAATCTCCGCATGAATTGTAAATCTCACATCTATAGTCTCCAGAGTCCTGTGGGTAAGCATCTGGTAGGGCTAGCGTGAAAATTCCATCGTTAGAAACACCCTGTCTGAAATCTTGACAATCAGGCAGAATACAGCCATCCTTCATCCAAACAACGTCAAAGGGCGGCGTTCCAATGGCCTCTACTCTCAAAGTGACAGGATTACCTTCGACTGCTACTATGTTTTTATCCAGACTCTTCAGGATTTCAGGTGGAACAGGATCCTCCTCGTATACCTCAAGAAAGGCATGAGTTTCAGCACATCCATTCTCATTTTCAGCAATGCAGGTATATAAACCAGCATCATTTATAGATACGGTTTCGATTTCAATTGCAGCAACTGATCCATCGTAAGAGTTGCAGTATTTTTCTGAATCTTCCAGAAGTGCGCCATCTTTGAACCATCTGAGGTTCGGCATAGGTGTGGCGCGGATATCACAATAAAGCCTTGCCCTACTTCCTAATCTGGCAGAACCACTGATGATATTCCTGGGGTAGATTGGGGCTGTTCTTGGTGACAAACTGCGAGCTCTGATACCTCTAGATGAAGGTACTCTATGACCTATAACGTCTAGCTTAGCAGATGTCTCCACTCTACCAACATCGTTTTCGAGTATGATTTTGTAAACGCCCGAATCACTGGTAGTGACTTCTTCTATTTCCAAAGTTCTCAGATCTTCTCTTTCAGACATCCTCAACCTAGCTGAAGGGGTAACAACTACCCCGTCCTTCTCCCACGTCACCCAGGGATCTGGGTGGCCTGCAATTGCACACTGAAATCTAACTGTCTCCCCTTCTTCTGCTACTCTGTTGTGGGGGTAGGCGTAAAATTTTGGAGGTGCAGCTCTGATTCTACTGGCTCGGAATTCTGTTGGGTTGGTCTCCCTGTAGCGAGGAAGAGGAGAAACACTTCTGTTGGGGGTTGTACGAGGAGTAGATATGGGAGTAGAGCCGTTCAATAGACCTGAGGGTCGCCGGAGTTGTTGAGTTAAGAGGTTATCCTTTTCTTCTGGAACTGTGAAAAAATAGTGGCAATAAGTAAGTAAGTCGGCACTAAAATCAATGCAAAACTTGATCAGAAAGTAAATGGAATCACCAAAAATAAATGAATATCAACAAGATTATATCGTTCTTAATTCAGTTGTGAATTTGATAACCATTTGTATTCATTTATATATTCAAGCTTCAAAAATATTGATGGCAGATCTAGATTTCTTTATGTATCTTTTTGCTTTTGCTAATAGCAAATGAACAGAATGCCGGAAATCTAATGTACTTAAATTCAGCAAACGTGATTTGAGAGTTGAACAATTATAATATTTGAAGTGAATTGGCGCAAGAGTCGAGGACTCTCATCCCAACCAAAAAAATTTCTAGTTGAAGTTGAATTGATTTTGCTACGTTCATTCGATTAGTGATTTTTTTTATATTGGTACACTTGACTCGAACATATGTTACAGCTATTCAGCTTGTTTGTTTAGTTCGTTAGTAAGAGGCAAAGTTAAAAGTGTTTTGGGTGTTCGGCGATTTTCTGCTATCGACGAAAATAGATCAAAGAATTTGCATAAAATTTTGTACAAAAAATGGAATGAAGTGGTAAAAAACACTTGAAATTTTGACAGGGGTATACGTTGATTGTACTCTGAGTCACAAAAATGTTCACAAGATGTACAAGCTCTTCAAAGAAAGTGGAGAAGATGTGAATGACGACGCTACCCCTGGACGCCCCAGCACATTAACGATGATGAAAATGTTGCAGAAGTGAATAATATTTTTATGAAGAACCGTCGAATCACTATTAGGGAAGATGCTGAGGAAGTCGGCAATTTTATCGGAAATTTTGGGCGTGATGCGTATGGCAACGAAATTTGTTCCAAAATTGCTGAATTTTGACCAAAAAACCATCGCATGAGCATCGCTCAGAAATTTTCGAAAGACGTCAATGGCAATCCAGATTTGCTCGAAAGGACCATAAACTGGGTATATGTATATTATATCGAAACCAAAGTCCAATCGTCCCAATGGAAGAGCCCAGGAGAGCCAAGACAAAAAAGCACGGCAAGTTCAATCAAATGACAAGATTTTGCTCAATGTTTTCTTAGATTATCGTGGCGTAGTGCTTCAGAAGTGTTTGTCACATGGTTGTATAGTCAATGAGGTATATTATCTTGAAGTTATACGCCGCTTACGAGAAGCATTACGAACAATAGTCTGGTATTGTGGAAAAATAATTTATGACTTTTGCATCATGATAATGCACCTGCTCACTCATTGCATTGCAGTCTATAAAAACACCGTTATCATACTTCAGCCACCGTATTCACCAGATTTGTCTCCCTGTGACTTCCTTGTGTTCCTAAGATTGAATATACCCATAGAAGAACGACGTTTTGTGACGATTAACCCTGCGTAGGTCGCGTGTTGTTGTGGATCATAAGGGGTCGCGCGGTATTTCACAGATGTATGTACATAAAAATGATATTCTATCGAACTACTGTCGTATTAATGGAAACAAAAACAAATTTGAGGTACTTTTATTGAATTAGAAAAAGTCAACATAAATTAATAAATTCTTATATAAACATAAAAGCAAACCTTAACCTTATAATAAAATAAAAACATGATTTAATCGTTTCAGTCAGAATTTGAACTTTGATTAGTGTTCTCATCGAAACATTTTTGACAGAGCATTGTGGCATGTTCTAAACAAAAATAATCTTCACATTTGCGGCATCTGTACTTTGTCAGTCTTCTTGTTTAACTTTTTGAATAGCACGGTCTGCAGGTTTTTCTGATGCTTTTTTTCTGAAACAGGATTATACTTGTTGAGTGCCTGTTGTAGATGTGTTGGAAGACTTTTCATTTGTCCCTTACGTCCAAGATATTCTGCAACTAAACTGTGAACTAGCATCTTTAGATATTTCCTCCTATTTGCAAAGGCATTTTTATTATCAGCAAAAACTATCATTCCGTTGATGGCTGCAATATTCATCATAGAAAAGAAGATTGGCCATCTTCTTGTATTTCGTGCACAGTTATATGTGGCACATAGCTGATCTACAGTATCAACTCCTGATTTTGTGGCATTATAATATGTGATTATTTCAGGTTTATGTTGATCCCCTGTGCCTTCATCAATATTATCGTCAAAATGCAACGATGATAAGAGTAATACATTTTTGCCTTTTTTTTGGCACATACGATACCAAAGTGGCTGTTTTACTGAATCCAAACATAGATGAATGTAGTACCCTTTCTTTGACGTTTGAAAATATTGGTGGAATCTGCCTTTTATTTTTTCTTATTGTGCCAACATATGAAAGCTTTTTATTCTTTAGTTTTTCTACGAGCTCTAGGTTGGTAAACCAATTGTCTCCGGTGATATTTCTTCCGGTGTCATAGATAGGTTCAGCAAGGCGCAGTACCAAGTCAGTAGGTGTATTACTAACTTCAAAGGGTCCCTCAGGTTGCTTGCCGACATACACTTCTAGGTTGACGGTATAAAATAATTTGGAATCTACTAGGGCAAATATTTTTATTCCATACTTATTGGGTTTTGAGGGAATGTACTGTCTGAAAGAACATCTTCCTCTAAAACCCTCAAGTTTTTCATCTATCGTAACATTTTGGCCGACGGAATAACAAGCTTTGCAGTTGTTCACAAAAAGGTCGAACAAATCTCGAATGGGAGCCAACTTGTCAATTTTTTTTCTTTCAACTCTTGTACGTTTATCGTCGAATCTACAACATCTGTACAAAAGTTTGAACCTTCTAAGAGACATAGTTGTTCTGAACAACTCAACACCCATGCCGTCTGTTGACCATAAATCTTCTAAAGACTGTCTGCCACTTCTCAAAATACCTGCTAGGTACAAGAGACCAAAGAAAGCTTTCATTTCAATTGAATCAGTCAATTTTATATCTCTTTCACGACTATAATTCGGTTGTATGGTCTGTATACTCAGATTAGTGGAATTCACTATGAGATCTATCATTTCGTCAGAAAAAAAGCACTTCCAGGAATCGAGAACAGTTTTTATACCTTTGGCGGACCCAATTACCCCAGGTATTTTTGTAAGGATGTTATGCGGCATTCTTTTTTGTGCAGGTTGCTGCTGACGTCATTTTTGGTACATTTCATCGATTTTCTCACGAAAAAACTCTACTGTGATAGTTTGGCCAGATTCCAGAAAGTTGTAGTTCATCACACCAGCAGCTGGTGACTTATCGGAGTCCAACCACTCTTCTCAACGTCTCCTTTTGTCGTAGAGGATCCACTTTTCATCAACCGTGATGGACCAAAATAACTGTCGTTTTGGTTGCGCAAAAGCAAAGAAGAATAAACCTCAAAAC